TAAGAAAGGGAAATACATACATACACATTTGTGCACACAGGCACAGACTAATGATCTCCGTAAGGATGAAAATGAACTGGTAAAAGGGTTTAACACTAGAAGAAAAACAGGGTGGCCAGGCAGTGGATACAGAAGACTTACTTTCTCCCCCTATCCCATTCTGTGGAGCTAAATTTTGCATCATCTACATGTACTTCCCATTCCAAATAAGTTAAATAGGATAAAATAATTAGAGAGTTTATCTATTAAAAGGAAAACATTTTTTAGGTATACACAGTTCAGTGAATTAACAAAATAATTGACCAGGTGCCTTGGCTCATGTATCTAATCTCAGCACTTTTGGGAGGCTGAGGCGGGCAGATCACTTGAGGACAAGAGTCCAAGACCACCCTGACCAACATAGTGAAACCCTGTCTCTACTCAAAATACAAAACATTAGGCGGGCATGGTGGCATGTACCTGTAGTCCCAGCTATTCAGGAGGCTGAAGCACAAGAATTGCTTCAACTCAGGAGGCGGAGTCTGCAGTAAGCTGAGATCAGTCACACCACTGTACTCTAGCCTGAGTGACAGAGTAAGACTCTGTCTCCCCGCCACCAAAAAAAAAAAAAAAAAAATTAAAATGCTCTGCTATGCATATGATTTATTATGATAAAGACTTAAACATTCATCCAACCATTTCTTGGGCAATTCTAAACGCCAGCCTCTATGCAATTCTGTAAAGAGATAAATTATTTTAATACTTTATAATCAATAATTATTTCTACAATTTATAATCATTAACTTTATTAATGAAAGCGGTATAAATAACTGCGAAAAAATAGTGGTTATGAACCTAGAAAGGCCTGAATTTAAATCCAGGATCCTAGACTTTGTAGATGTGTGATTCTCAGCTAATTATTTACTTTGTCTGAACACTAATTTCCCTTTTAAGAGCAGAGGTCAGCAAACTATGGCCTTAAGGCAAATTACATCCTGCCACCCATTTCTTGTAAATAAAGCTTTCTTGGAACAACCCATGCCTATTTGCCTACATGTCATCTATGGCTGCTTTCTGAGTACAATGTGAAACTTGACTAGTTTTGACAGAGTCCATGTGTCCCCAAAAGCCAAACATACTTATTATCTGATACTTTACAATAAAAGTTCACCTGCCCCTGCCTAAAAGTAAAATGCATACAAACCACATCTACTGTGTAATTTTCTAATATAAAATCTCAGGATCTGTATCTTAGGGCAAAAGAAAAAGAAAAAAGTAAGGAGTAAAAATGGCTTAAAGAATGTAAAACTCCACTCCAAGCAGGCATCAGGTCAAAACTATTTCAGAATGACATCAAGACATTATTTATCTTTTTCACTCTTTCTCCAAGTGTACAATAACATTTTCCAGAGTCTACACGACTCATGATGTCAAAAGACAACAACACAGTTGTATTCCCTTAAGTCAGATATTAAAGAGATTTGCAAAAATAGTGCCATTATTCTTACATTTTGTTTTAAAACACAGTTATTTTAGTTAAAATATAATCATTCATGTTAACATGTAGTGGGTTTATTATTATTTTAAAAGTCAGACATAACTTCTCTCAGTTTTATTTGTTGTTGTTGATGGTGGTGGGTTTTTTTGAGACATGGTCTCACTCTGTCACCCAGACCGACATGCAGTGGTAACAGCTCACTGCAGCCTCAACCTCCAAAGTTCAACCAATTCTCCCACCTCAGCCTCCCAAGTAGCAGGGAATACTGGCACATGACCCATGCCCAGCTAACATTTTTTTACCTTTTGTAGAGATGGGAGGTCTCACTATATTGCTCAGGCTGGCCTCAAACTACTAGGCTCAAGGGATCCTCTTCCTTAGCCTCCCAAAGGGCTTGGATGATGAGCATGAGCTGCAGCACCCAGGCTTTTTCTCTGTATTACCATTATTATTATTTGCGACAGGGTCTCTCTCTGTCACCCAGGCTGGAGTGCAGTGGCATGATCACAGCTCACTGCAGCCTTCACCTCCTGGGCTCAAGTGATCCTCCTGCCTTAGCCCCTCAAGTAGCTGGGACTACAAACTACAAGTGTATACCACCATGCCCAGCTAATTTTTTTTTTTTTTTTTAAAGAGATGGGGTTTTACCATGTCAAGTAGGATGGTCTCAACTCCAAGGCTCAAGCTATCCACCAGCCTCAACCTTCCAAAGCGCCTCCATTTTAATATTTTATATTTAAATATTAATAATTAGTATATATTTAAATATTGATAAATATAATCCGCATAAAGAAAAGCACCTTAGAACTGTCAATGCTGTTAACAGGTGTTTTGAGATCCAAAAGTTATAGAATATGCTATGCCAAGCTTGTCCAACCTGTAAATTTTGGCCTGCATGCAGCCCAGAACAGCTTTGAATGAAGCCCAACACAATTTTGTAAACTTGCTTAAAATATCGTAAGGATTTTCTGATTTTTTTTTTTTTTTTGCTCATTAGCTGTTGTTAGTGCTAGTATGTTTCATGTGTGGCCCAAGACAGTTCTTCTTCTTCCAATATGGCCCAGGGAAGCCAAGAGGTTGGACATCCTTGTGCTATATTATAACTTGAGTGCATCATAGTGGCATGATCAATTAGTCAATGACAACAGTTGGGCCCAGGTGGCTGACCTTCTATTTATATATTTCACAGGGTTTGGATGAACAGAGCAGAGAATATACTTGGACAATCAGTGACTCTATTGCCATCCAGCATGCAGTTTAAAAGAAAAATCTAACAATTCTAATTAGAAGTTCTCCAGGATACTTAAGAAATTTTATTCAAAAGTTTCAAATAAGGTGAAAGGAGGACAGCCTGCTCTTTCAATGCCGTACAGGGAGAAAGGCACATATGAGGATCATCCAGCCCTTAGGTTCCCAAACTACGTACCAAAGCACCCCAAGTGTAATACTTAAGCAAATTCACAGGGGTACTGTAGAACATTTTACATTTTTTAGGAAAACAAAGCAACATCTGTCAAAGAACATGCAAACCACTAGCTCAAGTTCAGTTTCAGTATCAGATTGTACTACCTTACCTTCAATAAAGTCAAATATTTGTGAAACTGGTTTTTCAGTGGTGGCTGTGTTACAAGGTAAAATCAACGCAGACAGAAAACAAGAGTAGTGATTTCCAGCCTGATTCTTTGAGTTGTACAGTGCTCAACAGGTGTACATATCCTGTTAAAAAGCAACTGCAGCTATTTAAGAGTAAATTTTATTGTTTTATTGCAGTATGTGCATTATTTGTTGAAACAGTTACTAAGTTATCAGTACATAAATACTTATTATTTGGACTTAGAAACCAGAAACTGTTAGGTAAATTCTATGACCTAGGAATACCATGAAAGAGAGAAAAAAATGACAGGACACTAAGGACATTATAAAAACAATAAAGTTGAGGAACTTCTGATTTAAGGAAACATACTCGACAAAACCCACGTTTCATTATTTTTTTAAAGGTCACAAATTTGGTGAAGTTTTGTATTAACTTGCAGATTTGTACCCAGTAGAAACAGTTTCTGTCCTGACAAACAAAGAGCCCCTATTAAGGCCAGCAGTCCTCAAGACATTAGGCACTTTTGAAACTAACATAGCAATCTTACCCTTATATTCTTTTATAAATTTCCTATAAAGTCCTAACTAGTCTAATGTTCCTTAAGCTGCTTTTAATATCATACCTGTTCCCTCACTAATTAATGAGTTACAAAAATGTTTGTCAATTATTTATTTTATATTTGCATTAAGATCCTATTTTTGTCTTTCTGTAAATTGTACTTTAGTATGCTGAAGTCCTTTTCTAGTGTATCTAGAAACAACTATTTTTAAAAGCCAAACTGTAAAGATTTCACTAATTACTAAGTGCTTTGGAGGAATATATATAGTATAAAAAAGATTCTGTAAGTTAGAATATAATTCAACTATCTTATCAGTCTGTTATTTTCTACATTTCTAACATTTAATAAATATATTCAGGCTGGGCACAGTGGTACACGCTTATAATGCCAGCACTTTAGAAAGCCAAGGCACTTGAGTTCAGGAGTTTGAGACCAGCCTGAGAAACAAAACGAGCCCTTGTCTTTATAAAAAATACAAACTACAAAAATTAGCCAGGCATGGTGGGGCATGCCTGTAGTCCCAGCTACTCCAGTGATTGCGGTGGGAGGATCATCTGAGCCCAGGAAGCTGAGGCTGCAGTGAGCTAAGATCCTGCCACTGCACTCCAGCATGGGCAGCAGAATCAAAATAATAATATTATTTTCTCAAAAAAATAATAAATATGCCCCATCCTTTTATAATCATAAAAATACACGATAGACTTGTTTAAATGTTTGGGATGATCTATGAACACATTCTTTTTTAAAAAGTACTATTAATGAGCATTTTTTAAAAAATGAATGACTGAGTGATACAGAATTAAATTCCCTCCAAAGAAACATGTTAGTACTATTCATTAAATAGAAGGCTGAGGACAAAAGAATAAATGCCAATATTTGTATAATTAGTTACTTCTAATGCCAGACTGTACCAGTAAACTAAAAATACAGATAACAACTTATTTTACTCTCAATCTTCCACTTATCCTTCCTAATATTTTTTTACTGCATGTCAAACATTCTTATCTAGATCACTCTTTTCATCTCAAGCTACAGAAGTGACAAATGTGCCTAAGAAGGGGAAAAAAAGGGGAAAAACTTTCACTTTTGGGGATATACTTATGAGGAACAGGTGAGGAGGAAACAAAGTAAAAAGCAAGTAAATGTATCTCCAGATGTGTTGAATCATGTCCATCCAAATGAGAACAAAATTCTGTAAGTGTTGGTGGTTTGTAAGAAACTTGCCTCTTTTCCTCATCTCATAACTGACTCTGGATCCACTTCTGTCCAAGTTGCTTTTCACCTAGGCTGCCTCCTTTTGTATCCAGAGTTGCTCTCTCATCTTACTATTAAAGACACTTGGCTCAGTACTATTTAGAACTTACTCTTGTATGCCTTGGAAGCATACAAACTAAAATTGGAACCACATAGAGAAGATTAACATGGCCCCTGCACAACGATGACGTGCAAATTCATGAAGCAATTCACATTTTTTAAATTATAAAAAGAAAAAAATAGAAAAGAACTCTGTATTATGCGTGAAATACTGAAAATGGACTTCCATACTTGTAGTGAGTCCTAATAGTCAAAAGGCCTCTTTACAACTACATATGAATATAAGACCAAAGCCAAACCTATGAAAATATTTGGTCTAAAGGAGGGAATGGGTATGGAAGTTGCACCATCCACTTTTAATGAATGATTTATATAACAAAGAACGTGAATATATGTAAACAACATCAAATGATTTGGAAGAAGAAGAATAAAAAGTTACATACTACTAATTCATCCCTGAATTAGGATCATTTAATTTTTGCAAGTTGATAGGTTTGATTCATAAAACTGCAATGAGGTACTATGAGAACCTAGGAAAAATTTATGAAACAGGGTTTTAAAGATTTGTCTACTCATTCATTCATTTACATTTATTATCTCATTTAATCTTGTGCAGGCCAGGAAGTGGTGGCTCATATCTGTAATCCCAGCACTTTGGGAGGTCAAGGCAGGTGGATCACTTGAGGCCAGGAGTTCAAGACCAGCCTGGCCACCTGGAGCAACTGTCTCTACTAAAAATACAAAAATTAGCTGAGCGTGGTGGTGCATGCCTGTAATCCCAGCTACTTGGGAGGCTGAGGCATAAGGATCACTTGAACCTGGGATGGATGGTGCAGTGGGCCAAAATCACATCACTGCACTCCAGCCTGGGAGACAGAGCAAGACTCTGCCTCACAAAAAAACAAAAACAAAAACCTGCACAACAAAGTGGATGTCACCATTATTACCTTTAGCTTCATTCCTACTCAGGGTTTAGAAAAGAAAAGCACAGGAGCAGAAACATAGCATATGGTGAGTAGACCAGTTTTATTACGAACACTAAGAGCATAATTCAAATGGGATTTGTAATAAAGTCCTACACTTCTGTCATTTATTTTCAGAGGAGCAGGCTATTGGTTGGTAAATTCAGGTCCATCAAGAAAACTCGTAATAATGCATACGTTCATCACTTTCCTGAAAACAATGTATGTACAAAAATTCGTAATTGTTGAGCTAAAAATTTAGAATTCTGAGTATTTATCATGTGGGTCAGGACAAGTGGCCCCTGTTCCTCTGCCTTCCTGTACCTGGCATCACTCTAGCCTCAGCTACAAGTTGGTCCCTCAGTACCTTCAGCTGCTTCTGAAAATGTCTGACTTGTTCAAAGAAGTTACAGGTGGTACTGCATTCCTCCTCAGTTAAAGGAGATTAAATACCCAGGATGCCAATGTCTCAAATGAAGGCTACGCAATGATGTACCCAGAATAATTTTAAAAGCTCTGTACCACAAAGTGGTTGAGTTTTATAGCAGGTCAAAGCACAAATACAGAACTCTTGGTTCTGCAGCATCTACAGAGCATACTTGTACTTCAAACATTTAGCTGTGTTCAAACCTACCAGTGTTAACATTCCTCAATGGAAGAATTCTCTAGTTTGAAATCTACTTAATGATTTTATCAATTTTTAACTGGGTATTTTTGGAACCATGTGTTTCTAAGGGTTAGGGGAAAGGGCAGGCCTTTCCACTATTAAAGTGTCCTTTGGTAACTTACCTTTTTGTACTCGCAAAACATGCTTCAAATGATCAAGAAATAATGCAAGACAGTACATATTCATTCTACTAACTTAGCAAACTCATGTGTTCAAGTCAGTACTATATGCTTTCAGAGAATGGGTAAATGGAGGACTGCAGGTAAAGTCGAAAACGTAAAAGTACATACAATCCCAATTTTTCTATTTTCATATACTGTTGTTAAAAGATATCACAGTGTCTTGTTTCTTTCACTAAAGAATTCTAGCTGAGTGTGATATTTCTTTTCAATCATGAAATTAAAGCCACAAAATATTACTCATTCAAGAACACAACAAACCATTAGCAGAAAAAATTTATTTGAAAGAGGTGAACTATTTTCTGATATAAAGCTTAAATTCTAAAATACAAAAATTGGCCAAGTGTAGCGGCATGCACTTGTAATCCCAGTTACTTGGGAGGCTGAGCAGGGTAACTGCTTGAACCCTGGAGGTGGAAGCTGCAGTGAGCCAAGATTAAGCCATTGCACTCCAGCCAAAGTGACAGAGCAAGACTCTGTTGCCAAAAAAAAAAAAAAAAAAAAAAAGGAAGAAGAGGAAGAAGAAGAAACAGAGGCGGGGCGATGACATGCTACACTGTAACTGTTACGTTTTAAATCACTAAGACAAATCCCAAAATTTACAAGCCAACAACCCAATTTCATTTTAGTAAAAAGTACCTCCTACATATGTAGTCATTTTTTTAAATCTCAGTTAACGTGTAAATACTTTTAGCCAATTGTCTTCCATTATATATACTACGATGTCCCTTTATTTTGCTACAATCTCAGTATCAGTTAATACTAAATAAACAATACTACTCAATTTCAGGAGTAAATAATTATACCTCAAATGGTTGCCTAACAATGTTCCCTCTACGGTCTTCTGTGTGCAAATTCCTACTTTATATATGAAGTATATTTAAGATCTCAAAATGTGTTGGGGCTATTTCTACTGTAAGAATTGCAATTCACAATCCAGCATGACAGGGGACAAAGTTCAACAGTATTGTAGCCTTTCTATTAAAAAATACTCATACCAAAATAAGCAACATAAACAGCCCAAATGCTCAAACTTGAACAAACCACTCAGTAATGAGTAATACTGATAAATAACCATACAAAACCAATAATTACAAGAATCAAAGACCTTAACATAATTATGAAATACAGTTTAAAGAATCATCTTTTAACATCAAGATAAGAACGGTGAAGAGACTATTTCTATTTTAATGACATAATTCAATTTTTGTTTTATGTTAGATTACTCTTTTCAAACCTCGTTTTCCATTTTGATCCTAGCACACACTAAATAGATTTACAAAGGAAAAGTAAGTCCCATTCAGTTCAACCCAACCTATGATACCTTTTGTGCTGGAAATTATAGATCCTGAGTAGAATAAAAGGTAAAATTATGATGTACACTGGAAACTAAAATAAATGATTCTGTATTAAAGACTGAATTTAGCAATAGTGTAGGAATGGAGAAAGGAGGAAGAAGACTATATTCTCAACTTCTTTAGTACGAATTCAAGAGAAGACTAAAATAAAACAAACACACACAACATTAAGAACAGCAGTATAAACATGCTATTGATAAATTTAGAGGTAAACTGCTAAAAGAAACAGAAATGTTACCTCAGGAGAGCAACTCAAAGAAGAGAGATGAAATTTCACTTGAACTGCCAGGGAAGACAGAGAGGGTGGGAGAGAAAGAACATGAACAAAGAGAAAATGAGTTTAGACTACGCTAGAATTGTGAAGGGCAACTGTGGCGGTATAAAATGGCTTCTGCTGGGGAGCAGAAATGCCAGATGATGCTTGGGCAATTCCTACACAACTGACACCACATTATGTTCTTCTGTTGGAGAGTACTTCACCAAAAGTAGTCTAACACAAGGACATACAAGGGCAAAGTGATTCAACACAAAAGAAACAACAAGGGAAGAGACACAGGTAGAAGACTACAACAACAGACCTGGCGTTCTATCAAGGAGGCAGCTCTATGGTTTCCAGAAACATTGTGTATTTTATCTTAGCACTCAGTTTTCCATGATATTCTTTAACCATAAATATTAAGCTATTATACTTCAGTCTTATACAACTGTTACTAAAATCCTAAATGAAGCATGCAAGCCACACGTCATCGACAAGTTCTCAGAGACAGATCAGGTAACTGCTACAAACCATACTTAAAAGCTTTATTTTTATAATATCCTTTAATACTCCACAACAGTCATACTGTCATCATATACATTACGCATTTTCAAAATTTTTTCCATTGACTCCATAAAAGGATAACAACAGAACCACAATGCTAGTAAACACCATATTTCAAATTCATACCAAAATGATGATGATTTCAAACATTTAGCAAAGACTACTTCTTTAAAATTAAAAAATCACAGGGCCAGGCGCGGTGGCTCAAGCCTGTAATCCCAGCACTTTGGGAGGCCAAGGCGGATAGATCACGAGGTCAAGAGATCGAGACCATCCTGGTCAACATGGTGAAACCCCGTCTCTACTAAAAATACAAAAAAAATTAGCTGGGCATGGTAGCACATGCCTGTAATCCCAGCTACTCAGGAGGCTGAGGCAGGAGAATTGCTTGAGCCCAGGAGGCGGAGGTTGCGGTGAGCCGAGATCGCGCCATTGCACTCCAGCCTGGGTAACAAGAGCGAGACTCCGTCTCAAAAAAATAAATAAATAAATAAATAATAAAAAATAAAAAAATCACTCATGTCAATATCTTAGGGGTAAAATCAGTATACAATATGACATTTCTTATATTACCATTATTTAGAAAGATTTATAGGAGAAATACCTACTTTACTTAATGTATATAAAAACTGATTCATCAATATGTGATTGGTAAGCTTCCTCTAGTCCAAGAAATAACCAAAATCATTTTTTAAAAACCCTTAATTTTTTCTAAATATTAATACTACCAGCTTAACTACAAATGGCAAACTACCACCATTACACAACAACCAGATGTTAGGCTTTGTGTTAGCTACTTTATTTCTGCTGCTTTATTCATCTACAAAAAAGGCGAGCTTAAGCTGAGTAATTTTAATATAACTTATTTATATAATCTTTTTAACATTTTAAATTATTTCCTTAAATTAATGAGGAAAAAATGTTAGAAAAAAATGTGTAAAATCAAGCAAAAGCAACAATCTGAACTGTATTCTTAACCATCTTTTCAGAAATGATTATTCTTGTCTAAAGAGAGAGAGAAATGTTCTGAAATCTAATTCTAATGTATAATGCTTTCCCCGCTGCTGCCAAGTTGCTACACAGATGCCACAGTCAGAAAATTTTACCAAGTGTAATCACACTTTTCAAAGAAAGGATCCCATTTAGTGACAGCACACTATGACTCAAATAGGC